TCACTCAGTGCAGAAAAACAGCAAAACCCCGAAATGTAAAAACAGGGCCAGGATACTGTGGTATCATGTATCTCGGGGTAGGTAGGCTTGACCAGAGGTGGAAAAGCCAGAGAAGGAAAAACAGCTTGCACCCGGTGCCCATTCCCCATGGCCTCTTGGGCATTCATCCACTGTCCCCAATAGCATGGTGGTGCTTTGGTTTTGTTTTAATAAGTTTTCAAAAACAACAACATACAAACAAAACCAAGGGGGAAAACATGGGGCCTTAAGTACCACCTGATTCCGTATGTTCCATCATGATTACCCAGGATCCTCTGGTGATTTCTCAGCACTAGAGACTGAGTGTGGCAGGGCCTCCCCTGTGGAACTCCCTACCAGCAGAGGTTCAGCAGCAACCATCCCTCCTTTTGAAACCTTTTGTGTTTAGATGCACCTTTGCAATGTGAATTTTGTCACAGTTCAAGGACAACATTCCAGCCAGGCAAACACACTTGAGGATAGCCCAGTGTAGTGCTGGTGAGGGTGAGATGTAGCCTGGGGAGAGGGGTGCAGATAGGGGAGAGTCCTGAGGGCCTGACAGAGAGGCTTAGAAGGACCATGTTTGGTCCCAGGGCTCAAAATTCCCTTTTCTCTGACCAACACTATGAGAGCAGAACCTGGAATCATTCCAAATATTGCTGGACTCCAACTCCCATCCCCCTAGACCAATGACCATACTGGCTGGGGCTGATGGGAGTTGGAGTCCAGCAAGATCTGGACAGTCACAAGTTCCCTACTCCACCATGAAGCCACAACCCTTCTCCAGTTTTAAATAGGAAAGGCTACCCCATTTTCATCTCTGTGCATTAAGCTGTTCATGTGGGTGCATTTGAATGCTCTCTGTATACATGAGCAGGGAAGGTAGAATCAGTGCAACAAGTGGGCAGGGCTCTGTGTGCTCACTCCCCCCTCCATGCATTCGGCTAGAATCGAGAGAGATGTTTCATTTGATCAAGTCCAAGCAAGGGGAAAATCTATGATGTACCCAGCAGCAGTAATTTTCTCTGTACCCAGAGCAAGTTGTGCAACTCGACTCTGACCATATTTACTAATGCACCAGCTTAAAGTGGAATTGCTTCCAAGCAAATTTACTTAGGGCCGCAGTTTTAATCTCCCTGCAAAGTGTTGAAACATACTCTACAAGCAAGTTTCAGCACAAAGAGCTGTTCACAATTTCTCTTTCTTACGCTTACTAATGATGGGGGAAGGTGCTGACAGTCTCCTCCTCCCTGCTTCAGTCCTCATACAGTTACAGGAATGGGCTGCACAAGCTTAAAAGTGCCTCATAGTATCATAGAAATGTAAAGTTGGAGGGGACCACAAGGGTCATCTAGTCCAATGCCCTGCAATGCAGGAAACTTTTGCCCAATGTGGGGCTCAAACCCACGACCCTGAGATTAAGAGTCTCACATTCTACCGACTGAGCTATCCACAGGGTTCACTAGTGCAGATTTCACTCTGTAATAAAAGTTTCCCTGGGTGCATACATTGAAAGGCAACAGATGCAAAGCATACTTTGACAGATCCGCTCCAGCCCAAAACAGCTATAAAACCTTTCACAGGCTCTCTTTTTCAAAAGACAGGATGGTGTAACAGCTAGAGAACTGCACTGCAACCAGGGAAAACTGGTTGTAAGACTCCACTCGGTCATGAAGAGCTGTAGGTAACCTTTAGCCTGTCATTCACATGTGAACACTATACCAGGGGTGGGAAACTTCAGGCCTGGGGGTCAAATGTGGCCTCCCAAACCTCTTGGGACACACCCCATTCCACAGGCCACACCCTTGAGTGCTTCTGGTCTAGATGGAATGTGTCATTGAACTGTGATAATACCTCTTTCCTGGAAGGAGGACCGGCGGTGTGTGTGTGTGTTATCCCTGGGAATCTCTGACTTAGAAACATAGAATTGTAGAGTTGGAAGGGACCCGACTTCTGCATGCTTGGAATGTAACCTGTTGTGCAAAGCTAAAACGTGCATCCGTTGCCCTGTCTACGTTTGCACCTGGCCCCATTGTGTAACCCTCAGGAGGTTTCCCACAAGGGAATGTGGCCCTCGAAAAAGGTGTAACCAGGACCTTAGCATGGGGAGGGGGGGGACCTGTGGCTCAAGAACTGCATGCGGCCTGCAGCATATGGGGGGGGGCAAAGTGAAAGAAAGGGGGCAGGAGTTGCAGGAGGAGGAAGTAGACAGAAAATCCAAAATGGGTGGAACAATGGAAGCAGGAGTGGGGAGCCCTCTGCAAGCCATTAGTTCAGACCTCTGGCAAGAGTGATCTTCCCTTCCCCTGTAGTCAGCTGTGCAGGGAGGAAGATCAAGAGTGGCAGGAGAGAGAGGGTGGCAGAGGGAGAGGGGAGAGAGAGGGAGGAAGAGAGAGATGCATGTTGCTCCACTTTGGGTTTTGGCCTCACCCATCACCATCTTGTGGCCCATGAAATAATAATAATAAAGGGTTCTACACCCCTGGATTAGCAACATGTGCAGACAAGCCTTGGGCTCATCTGTTTCTCTCTCTTCTTCAGGCACAGCCACAAGGAGATCATTGGCTTTCACTTTTGTTTTCAGCTAAATGTGGAGATTCATGCTCACACCCAGGTAAACTGTGGCCACCATGCGCACAATGACCCAAGACAACTTCAAACCACAGTGAACGATTCCTGACACGTTTCACTAAACCACAGTTAACACTAAGCACAGATCAGACATGAACAGTAACCATGGCTAACTGGAAACAGGAGCAATGCATGCTGTGTCTTGCGGCTGTGCTGGAAGAGAAGAGGGATCACTCTCTCATGTCCGTCAACACAGACTAAGCTGTAGCATTACGCACAAACCAGGTGACTCTCTCTCAGCCTAACCAATCTCGCAGGGCCATTATGAAGATAAAATCATAGAGGAGATAACATATATGCTGCCCTGAGCTGGAAAAGTAGGATAAATACAATTGGCAACTGGCAATACAGATATGTGCCAAGTGTTATGCACTCCCATACGATTTTATGAAGCAAATTGTCTCATGTAATCCTGAGCACTGATCAAGACAGGCCAGACAGCTAATGTATTTTGCATGAGAAAGAACTAAAGAACTTTCATGCAAAACTGAAGTACAAATAGTAATATACCTTTTGTTGGATCTCTTGTTGCTGCTTTGCTTTTTAAGTTTACATCTGGCTTCCAGGCAATATCAACATTACACAATATCGACATTACCCAAGTCTCATTGATATCCCCATAATAGAAGCATGAAACCACAGCATTCCACTTTTGCAGAGGCATTAACCCCTGTAATTCCTGTATAAATAGGAAGATCAGCCTTTCTAGAGTCTTAATCGACCCAAGCATTCCTTTTGTCTGTTTGCTTGTAGGCTGTGTGGCTGTTTTAACATTGTCCTGGGAATGTTTTTAATAAAATAAAATAATTTAAATGGGCTTGTATTTTAAAAGCCATCTATTTGCATTGCTTGGCAAATATTGTTGGGATATTTCCTAGTTTCTTGCACTAACCAAGACTCGGTTAAGTCTGAATTTCATGGGGAACCTTTTCTCCCTCTGATAACTTTATTATCCATTACTTAGATTGCACACCTATCTGCCTGTACTTTGTAAAAATCTGTGCTATCTAAAATGAAAACACAGGCAAGACAACAGGGGAAGGGGAAGCAGGTGTGGGTAAATAGAGGAATACAATTTGTGTCCATAACACATAACCAAGCTTATTTGTTTAATTTTCTTAGAAACCCATCTCCATTTCTGTTATGCGTCCTGATTCCTGAAGCATCCACTATTTCCAGTCCTACTTCTTTCCTCTGGTCCCAAGATCCAGGATGGATCTTTGGCCAACCACAAAATGAGGGGGGAGCAGGGTGGTCAGATGCAAAGGAGGACGGGGCTTAATAATTACAGAAAAGAGGGAATGGCAACAATTAAAGGTGCAGGAGTCCTGTCTAGGGGCTTCTCATCAGCATCCAGCAGAACGTGTCTGGAGATAGTGCTGAACTAGATAGATCTAGCAAAACAACATAAAGGTGGAAGGGGGAAAGAGAGGAGTTATGTCATTCTACTGAGCAGACTTTTCCCTATCCTAGATCCAAAACTTGAGCTATTCTTTTCCTGCCCACCGTCACTGTGATGACCTGCCACCAGCAATCCTAAAACACACTTAGTAGGGGAAAGGTCACAGCTTTCTGGTAGAGCATCTGCTTTGCATACAGAAGGTCCCAGGTTTGATGTCCAGGAAGGGAAAGGCTCCTGGAAAAGGCTCCTGCCAGAAAACTTGGGGCAGCCACTGCCAATCAGGGCAGACAACACTGAGCTAGATGGACTAATGGTCTGCATTAGTGCAAGACATCTTCCCCTGTAAGGAGCAAAGTCCCATGAAACACACCGGAATCGACTTTTTAAATGACTGCTTCTGTGTGCGATGCTTGCATTTCCTCATCCACTCCAAAGCTAGTTAAAGTTTGAGCTCTCTCTTTTGCCTTTTCCCTCCACTCCGCCGGTGCCTTGACTTTTCCTTTTTTCCTTTTTCCGTTTGTAAACCCGATGGCAAAGCCTCCCTCTTTTGGATTGACGCGAGCCGCTTTGGAGGACAAGAGTTGCCTGAGAAGGCGGACAAAATTGTAGGAAACCCACAAGTTCCCTGAAACAAGGAACCCTAACGCCTCACCCACATCACCATCCTTGGCAAGCAGACGACCCCTTCGCCCCACTCTTGAACCACCAGCAGCGCCCTCTCCTGCCCACACCTCTCCAAAACAGGGCATAGGGGTGGGCTGGAGGAAGTACTTTCCGCCCTGGCCAGCCCCTCGTCAACCTCCCCACCGCCGGCCCGGGGGGGCTTGGCAGCAAGGTCACCCACCCAAAGAGGAAGCAGCGATCACACACAAACACCGAGAAGGTAGCACAATAGAGGAGCGAGAGTGGGGAGGGCGAAGGAGAAGGGGCCGCCCTCGCTCCGCCTTACCAGTTGCAGGCAGCAGAAGCCCACCAGCGTGCAGCGCCCGTTGCATTTGCCCATGGCCGCGCTGGCGCGGAAGCCGCCCTCCTCCGGTTGCAGCAGAAGCGGCGGCAGCAGCAGCAGCAGCAGCAGCCCTCGGCCTCCCGTTGCCAGTGACAACCTCACTCAGAGGGCGCCCGAAAGCAGCAGCCGGCAGCCATCCTCGGCCATTGCGCTTCAAAACCAAAACGGCCGAGCCTTGTCCTTCCCTGCGCCTTGGCGAGCCTGCCCGACGCCGACGCCTTTTGTCTGGGGCGAGCCTTCGAGTTTCCAAAATAGCAGCCCCCCCCCAAAAAAAGATAAGAAGATCCACAGGGGCGTTTTATCTTCGCCCAGCGCAGCACTTCCGAGGCTGCTGGAAGCTGGACGCCCCTCGCTCCATTGTAATGCGCGCGGCTAGGCGTGCGCGCCTTTGCTCCCTCTTGGATCAGAGCTCGCCCTCCATCTCCCGAGAGGGGAGCGGGGTGTAGAGAAGGGGGCGGCTCGGGGTGGGCAACACGAGCCGTCCGGGCTTTGCCCAATTTTGCATGGGGTGGGGGGTGGGAGTGCAGGAGCGAGGAGATCCTCTCCCGGCGCGCTCTCAACGAGCCCTCCTCGCCATTGTTTGCCCTCCTCGCCTCAAGACACACCCACGATTCCCCCTTGCGAAACAGTAACACTGAAAAGCGGCGTTTTAAAAAAAAGAGGAAACAGGAAAAAGAAGGGAGAATCCGCGCCGTCGGGAAAAGACAATCGAAAGCGGCAGGAATAATACAAACCACCCGCACCCCACCCCCCGCACCCCCACAACCACGTGGCTCTCTGGCTGAGCTCTGGGCGTGGAGAGCCGAGAGATTCTAGCCCCACCACCTGAAGGGCCGCCCCACCTCCTCCCTCCCGCCGTCCAATAAAGAATAGGGATGTCCTTTATTACCCAACGAAGCCCCCGCCCCCTCCTACAAGCTTTGTAGCTGCGGCTCTAAGAGGAAACACTGGGTGATGGGAAGCGTGTGCGTAAAGTTGTTGTGGTGTTTATGTGTGATCCATCTCTGCATTTCTCTTTTCAAGGAATAGCCCTCAAGTAGTAACTAACTTGGGTCTAACATACATTTATTTGTCTGCCCATGTACAGTAACTAACAAGTGCAGAGTTAATATTGTCTGTTATTATTTAATAACTTATTCATATATTGTTAAAATATACAGGGCTATTTTTCTAGAAAAAGAGATGTCAGAACTCACCATGATCACCTCCCTCATTCTCTTAGAATGGCAATGGCGCCCACCTTAGAGGTGCTGGAACTGAGTTCTGGCTGAAAAAAAGCCCTGATTATACAGTGGTACCTCAGGTTACATATGCTTCAGGTTATATACGCTTCAGGTTACAGACTCCGCTAACCCAGAAATAGTACCTCGGGTTAAGAACTTTGCTTCAGGATGAGAACAGAAATCGCATGGTGGCAACAGGAGGCCCCATTAGCTAAAGTGGTGCTTCAGGTTAAGAACGGACCTCCAGAACGAATTAAGTACTTAACCTGAGGTACCACTGTATATCTAAAAAGTCAGAGCACTTTACATCCATCATACACGACCTGAGTTGGAAAAAAGACTCCACCCTTTAGCTAGTTCCTGTGGCTACTTTCATTTTCCTGCGTTGCCAATTGGATCAATAAGCTGCCTCTTGGGGTCTGGATCTGGAAAGCAAGAGTAACCTTGCTTGATCGTAAATAAGAATGGAGAGTCTTGGGAAATGGGAGGATATAAATGTAACCAATGAATGCAATTCAAAAAGTCACCTTTGGACAATACAATGTAGTTGGCCAACCAAACTATCAGAACATCAGGAGCAACATTTTGAGTTCTCCAGAACACATCAAGATAAGTAGGGAGGGAAAGCAATGCGAGGGAGCAAAGTGATATTGATAGAAGTTCTTTAGCATTTTCTAACAGGCATCCTGTGAGATAAACAAATGAATAGATAAACAGCTTCTGGTGGCATGGGCTCTAGTCAGCAACAGTTCATGCCATAGATTTGTTGGCTTTTAAAGTATCGCAACCCTCTGCTTGCAGGCTTCTCATGGACCACTGTGGGAAATAGCATTCAGGATTAGATAGAGACCTTTGGCATGATAACACTCTTGTGCTCTTGCTTTCGCTGTTACAGACCAGCACAACTACCCCTTCCAAATCTATCTTCAGGAATGAAGAACAATGTTGTTGTCCTACAACTCCCATCACTGCTGAGCACTGGCCATGCTGGTCCAACAGAAGCCATCAAGGCTAGAACTAGGGAAACAGATCTCTGGGCAGAGCTGTCCCATGTTGCGAGTCAGACCACTGTCCCATCTAGCTTTGGATGGTATGGTGCAGATGTTGACAGCACTGGAGAAAAAACATTTTTCTTATAGCTGTTACAGTCATAACAAGAGGCTTTTGGACACGTTGTTCACCTGGGTCTGGGCTGGCTGGAGTCTTCTGCCTCTTCCATCCTTGCGCTCTTCAACACAAAACACAGGAAGGGCTGCAAGGTCATCAAGATAATTCTGGAAACTAAGAGCATCCATGAGTCTCTGAGGAGGGATCATTTTGACATCTTTACCAGGCCCTGCATAGTTCATGCGAGGCCAGTCGTTCTCCTGCCTGACAGCATGATGGGAAGAGCATGGAAAGAAACCCTGGAATTGGTCCATTGGCCCTGCCATGGTTGTGGGGACAATGATTTACATGAGAGATCCCACAGTTGCTACAGAGGAATTAAAACTTGAACAGCATTAAGGAAAGTGGTCAAAGCATGACTCTAGGCACCTGTCTGTTAAAAATGTATACCCTATTTCTCTGTCCCACCTGGGCATCTGGTACACAAGAATTTTTTAAAAGGAACAAATGTGAGATGTTCAGAACATCGTGTTTCTTTAAAAGTGGAGCAGCAGAGCTCACCACCACCATCACAATATAGCCAAGGAATAGAAATTCAGCCATCAGATGTGCTAAAACGATATGGCTTTTTACCTGGCCTCGGAAGGAGAGAGGCCAGCTAAGGCTGCCATAAGAATGCAAGAAGAGCCTGCTGATCTATCTAGTCCGGCACCTGTTCTCACAGTGCCCAGTCAGAGTACTGTGGGAAGGCCACAGGCAGGACCTAAGCGCAACAACACCTGCCTCTCCTGAAGTTTCCAGCAACTGGTATTCAGAAGCATACTGCCTTCTGCTGCAGAGGTTAGAACACAGCCATTGGGGTTAGTAGCCAGAGAGTCCTGAGGCATATGGTTCCGTAGTCCAGTGATCCAAAAGGGACAATTTAATCTCACTGTCACAAAGCCACCTACCACATCTCTGCCAAAGCTGGAAGGAAGTATGATCTCCATCAAAGGTCTGAATAGCAACCTCCCCCTGCTCCCAACACTCGCATTTTTAAAATTTTGGTGTATTGTTGGGGTTTTAAAATATGCATTCTTTGTTGCTATTTCAGGAAGGAGTTTTTCTGATCGTGGAATGCTCCCTCCTGTGTGCTGTTAAGGGGGGGGGGGGTTCTCCTGTTCCTCCAGAGTGGATTTGAGGGAGGCACTGAGAGTGGGTAGGGAAGGAGGAAAGCCCTATTGCGCTAGCAGGAGTCCATGCGATGGGTTCTGCTAGCACGCCAAGTTATTTCAATTTGGACCACTTCTGTTGTTTTATTTATTAATTTGCATTCATTATTGCTGTTAGCTACTGCGGGCATGATTCATGGGGAGATGGGGTATAAATCTTCCTGCTACATAAAGTATTTGCACTTTGACTCGAGTCTAGCAAACCAGTCAGGACTTGGGAGAGAATAAGGCAATATGTTTATGGCCAATGTGTGGAAACTGATCTACCGTGCGGCTGGAGGAAAGAGGAGAGAAGGAATTTTATTATCTTCCAGTGCATGCAAAAACAATTATACCGCTTAGCAGTAATGATGGCCGTGGAAGTGAATAATGACAGGCTGAAATGAAAGTAAGTGTGTGAGAGACACAGAACACAAATGTGCCCACAGCCGCATTTTCAGTGCCATCCCCATCTCATCAGCACAGGCAAGGGTGTGTGTGTGTGTGTGTGTGTGTGTGTGTGTGGTGTTGACGCCTCTCCCAGCCTGCTTCAGATTTCGCACATGCAAAGTCAGTCCTGGCACTGACAGTCATTTGGTGGGGAGGGGAGGGTCAGTTCTTGGATTCCTACTAGGCACTGATCCTGTATCCAGTAAGGATTGGAATCTAGTTGCAGTGGAACCTGCCAGATGGATGCCTTTGTTCAGATAATAGCTTCCACTGGGCAGTTAAGTGCTCCCATCAGCACCTCAAAGAGATGTAGCAATTGCTACAACCATCTGACATTGTACACACACCCTTGCCTAGCTGGTGAGCGGGGGGGGGGGGGGGGGAAGCAATGTGGAGATGGATCCAAGCTCTGTGCTGGACCCAAATCCATGACTAATGGAGAAGCACGATCTTTTGTGATGTAAATTGCCCTGTTGTTGTTTAGTCGTGTCCGACTCTTCGTGACCCCATGGACCAGAGCACGCCAGGCACTCCTGTCTTCCACTGCCTCCCACAGTTTGGTCAAACTCATGCTGGTAGCTTCGAGAACACTGTCCAACCATCTCGTCCTCTGTCACCCCCTTCTCCTTGTGCCCTCCATCTTTTCCAACATCAGGGTCTTTTCCAGGGAACAAATCTGAAGCCCAGCAGTCAGGATACAGTCCAGAGTCAAACCCATAGAGGTCCAGGAGGTCCAGGAGCAGCCTGGGTCTTTTCCAGGGAGTCTTCTCTTCTCATGAGGTGTCCAAAATATTGGAGTCTCAGCTTCAGGATCTGATCCCCCTGTCAGCTGCCATTTTGAACCTTAGACTATTAGCAATGCCTCCCTACTTTAATTTCAGCCAAGGGACCTTTGTTTATACTAAGTTTTGTGTCTGTGTCGCAAAGTATAGGGAAGCTGCCTTCAAATATCCAAAGAGCTGTCATGCAGAAGATGGAGGAGACTTGTTGCTACAGAGAGCAGGATTAGACCCAATGGATGAAAATGGCAATAGAGCTGAAACTTCCTAATGGCAAGATCAGTTTTGCAGTGGGGGTGGGGGGTGGAGCCTCAGGAGCATAACATTGCAACGGAACATGGCAAGTTGCCTTAGATTGAGCCAGATCATTTGCCCATCTAGCTCAGTCCCATCTGCGCTCACTGGCAGGGAGCATTCTCAGCCCCACCTGGAGATGCTAAGGATTGAACCCAGGGCAAAGCTGATGCTTAACCACTGAGATATATGGCCTTCCCTTGGAGGTTGTGGGCAATCCTTAACTGAAGGCTAAATGGTCATCTCCTAGAGATGCTGTAGCTGCATCCTTCATTGTATCCTTTGCCATTGAGCAAGGGCTTGGGGGATATTCCTTCCACAATCCCTTCTGTTAAAATTCTATGCAGAAACCAGCCTCTTAGTGTAACTTGGCCATTGTTCTGCAATGGTAACCCTAGTCTACAGTCATTCTTTTCTGTTCCACTCTTATTGGTTATTCTTTACTTCCTTATAGTTTTTGGACTGCCCCATTAGTTTTGCTCCCCCAGGTTACAAAGCAGAAAGACCTCACCCCGACTGCTTTCTTCCCAAGGCTGTTCTCCACAAAACCTGCCAGTCACTGCCCTAGTTTCCATCTTGAAAGCAAAGGCATCTCCTGGGGGGTGGCTTCTGCTGGATAAACCACAGTTGGAACCTGAACCCCCATAGCAGACAAAGAGAAATGAATGAATCTGTAGGTGGAGGCAAGGAGGAGGTGAATCTGAAGAATAGCATCTATATATCACATCTTCTGAA